GTGTGTGTGTGTGTGTGTGTGTGTGTGTGTGTGTTGCCGCCGATGTGTGTCGCGACCTTCGTTGTCTGTCGCAATGGGCAGAGGAGGTGGATCTTTGCGGGAGAGGTAGACGATAAGAAGAAGAAGAAGAAGAAGAGGAGGAGGAGGAGGCTTTCTGTGTGTGTGTGTGTTGTGTGTGTGTGTGTGTATGTTGCCGCCGATGTGTGTCGTGGTGGTTGTGTGTCGCGGCCTGGAAGGATGTCGCGACGGCGCGACCTTTCTTGTTTCTTTTGGGAAGCCCCACGAAGAAGAAGAAGAAGAAGAAGAAGAAGAGGAAGAGGAAGAAGGAGGACGAGGAAAACACACACACACACACACACACACACACACACACACACACACACACACACACACACACACAAACTCACTCACCTGGCGATGGCGACGTGGAGCGGGCAAGGGCCACCGGCAGTAGTGGACAAGCGGGCGACGGGCAGCGGTCGACAAGTCGTGGAGGGTTTGCCGTCTGCCAAGAAGCACCGCGTGATTTTGGGCTGGCATTCGGAATGGAATACCTGCGCGAAATCGCTCGGCGACCCTTGCCAAACGGAAAAAGGGCAATTTCAAGCCCTCGATCTTGCAGATTGAGGGCTTGAGATCGCCCTTTTTTTAATCTGCATGGGGCCGGTAGGCTCTCCGCGCAATTTTTTTTTTGCAGTCTGCAGGGCCCTCTGAGCCCCCCACCGTGCCACAGGCCTCCCCCAGCAGCAGTTTTTGAATTTTTCTTTTCGTGCCGCGTAGAGCGCCCGGGGGCCCGCTCGGGCCTCATGCCTGGCCGGGCACCCGGGCGCCATTCCAGGCGTGGTCTGGGGACCCGGGCGCCCAGGAAATCAGCCTAGGTATATATACTATATAGCCATGTTCCAGAAGAAGATTCGTTCTCATTCTGCACATTTGGTCAGTGGTGGAGCGAGGACACGGGATGGCACGCCCAAATCGGAAAATGGTGGCCGCACTCCACTACTCACCACACCCACAGAAGACCAAAATTACTGCAGTGTATCTTGCCATGTTCTCTCGCTCCACTACTCTCCGCATGCACAAACGGCAAAAACTATGGCATAGTTCCTTATTCCAGCGGAAGGTTCATTCTCGTTTTGCACATTTGGAGAGTAGTGGAGCGAGGCCCTCAGCACACGCACAAAAGACAAAAAATATGACCACACTGTCCACATGCACAAAAGACAAAAAATATGACAGTGAGGGGCTCGGTCCACTACAATTCAAATGTGCAAATGAGAATGAACCGTCTGCCAGAACATAGAACTATACACGGCCATATTTTTTGTCTTTTCTGCATGTGGAGAGTAATGGAGCGATGCCATATCTACCCATGTTCTAGAAGAGGATTTGTTCTCATTTTGCATATTTGGTGACACGTGGAGCGAGGCCCTGACAGAGGTTGACACGCGTGAAAGGAAAAGCGGTTCCCAAAAAATGTGCAAGGTTGTGGGCCTCGCTCGACTACTCACCGCAGACACAAAAGAGAAAAAGCACTGTATCTACCCATGTTTTAAAAGAACATTCGTTCTCATTTTGCACAAAAACGTTGACAAAAAAAAAAAAAAGAACAGACCACAGAAACGACGCCTCCCACTGCTTTGTACTTGTATTCAAACGTGCGGCCAGAAACTTAGCAAAAGCGCCAAACGTTGCACGGCCCACACAGCGCCCCTGGCCCCAAGAGAGAAAGATCGTTTTCCCAACAGTGGCAGCTGGCCCTCAGGGGAACATTACGCGAGACCCGGCTTATCCTTTAAAGAGTATCGATAGAAAAGGGTTGCGGGTGGCAGGACCAGTCTTCCCCAGGGTGGCTGCTGCATGGAAATTTACTACTCATTGATTAGTCAAAAGGGAACTTGCCGCCTTTTTTCGAGATGCAGGAAATTGAGATCCTTCTCGCCTTCTTCGCAAGCACCTGGTCAGTCCAGTTGTCTTCATGAAGCATTTCGACTTTGAAATTTCATTCAATAAATCAAGAACTAGGTGGCTTGGCCGGATTTTACTCGACCATAACTTAGATTACATGGCTCCTTTATGGAGTTTGCATTAGCTTGCCTTGAGGTCAAGCCACCCGGTCAAAACCCTGGGATGGTTAACTACCTTGGCCTTGCTTAGCGTGGCTTATAGGCTGGCGCCTAATGTCTCTGCTTCTGTCTTTTTTTTGGTTTTAACTTTTAAATAAATAAGAAGGTTTACAGGTGCCCCCAGGCTGGGTGCGCCATTGACATTATTTTCCATTGATTACTGCAACACTGAAAAGGGAACTTGCTGCTGTTTCTGTGGATGCAGGATTAGCTACCTTGGCCTTGTTTAGCGTGGCTTATAGGCTGGCGCCTAATGTCTCTGCTTCTGTCTTTTTTTTTGTTTTAACTTTTAAATAAATAAAAAGGTTTACAGGTGGCCCCAGGCTGGTGCGCCATCGATATTATTTTCCATTGATTACTGAAACTGTGAGGATTGAGCCCTCAAAGGGGCCTTGCCGTGGTGTACATGTTCTGGGCCAAGGCCCCCAGCAAGCATCGTGCCCGCCCTAAGTGAAGGCGGGCCAGCGAATCAACGAGAGCCCTCTGTTCAAACATTTCACGAAGTGGGGTCCATACAGTTGCCGCACGCCAGTTGGTTGCAGTGCACCGAGGACCGGATCTCGGCAAATTGCAGAAGGGCCAGGGCCCATCTCAGTTGGTTAGGCCCTGGGCACATAAACGTGAGGCCGACATTGCATACTGGAAATAGAGGCCGAAAATGCCAATGGGGTACCGGTCCGCTATCTGAATCTGGACGCAGGCCTGGATGAAAGAGGCACAACTGTACTGCGTGGGCCCCAACCACATTGGGCCTGGGTACAGGTACTGGGGCCCAGGCGCAGGCTGAAGGGAGGCCGCCCACACGCAACACTGGCATATAGGCAGAGAGGGCGAGTGGGCAGGGATCTTGGCCATTGTGAGCAAGGCCGGCACGCTGCTGCGTTGCGAGTGTGCCTGCGCTGCGCTAGGCTGAGTGAGGGCAGGCAGGCGCTAAGCGGTAGAGCGCTGTCTGGGCGCAGGGCGCTGGCGGCCATAGCCGGGCTGCCTGAAGGGTGCAGAGAAGGTGAAGGGCGAAGGTGGTTCTTCGGAGGTGAAGGGCGCTGTGTGGGATAACAAGGGAGAGTGAGGGTGAAGAGAGGGACGTACCTGGTGGAGAGGAGGTCGGCATTGGTGTTGACGTCATCACTCGCTGGTCGTCAAGTTGCCTGGTTGCTTCCATGCTGTAGCTGTAGTGATAGGCTGTAGAGTAGGTAGGGCGCCTGGCGCCATTCAAGAGAGAGAGCTACATTGGGTTATGCTGTTGGTGTTGCCCGATTGGGCTTGGACATTGACTCACGATTCTTCTGTATCGTTCTCAAATGGATGGTTACTCGGTTCCATTGTGCTATCTGCTCTTGCTTTGACTACTTGGACTTCAGTGTGATTTTGCAATTTGGATTTCTGTGCTTCGTCCATATTCATGTTCCTTGCAAAACACTGAAAAGGGAACTTGCTGCCTTTTGTGTGGATGCAGGAAATAGAGGTCCTTCCTCGCCTTCATCACAAGCACCTGGTGCGTCTCATAGGATACTGTAATGAGGAATCCTGTCAAGCGCTTGTGTATGAGTACATAAATAATGGCAACCTACGGGATCACTTACATGGTGAGTGAGGAGGAAGACTGGACCGAACGGACCTACAAACTGGAGGGTCAGTGCAGTGATGCATCGCCCAACTCAATTCATGAACCAATGAATGGATGAGTTACGATGCTCAAGCAGATATATACATGTACGGTACCTCTATCCGACATTGGACTGAGGCAGAAACTACTGGACTCAAACCAAGCAGGCGGGCGCTCAACGTTTGGGCACTGAGGTAGGATACTGTAATGAGGAAGGTTGTCGACCACTTGTGTATGCATACATGAATGGCAACCTCCCGATCACTTATGATGGTCAGTGAGTTGTAGACTGAACGGACCTACAAATAGATTCACATGCAATCAAATATCGGTATGTATACTGGAGTCAGTGCTATCAGGAAGCATCGAAGTCAACCGATAACCAAATGAATGGATAAGTATGGTTCTCAAACAGATCTATACATGTACCTATATCGGACATTGAACACAAACCAGACAGGTGGGCACTCTTGTTGGAGGATATGGAAGTGAACTTTGGCACTCAATGTCTGGACCCTGAGGGAAGGACTGATAGGCCAGGTGTTGCAAGTGACAGAATCTGGCAGGTCCGAAATAGCCTTGTGCAGAAATGAGTAGGCTGGAAAAGGCCTGGAGACTAATTCTCAGACTGGCGGTCTGGTGCCACAGTAAAATCAGGAATTAAAAGTATTGGCACCAAAACCACAGAGGCCAACATGCCAGGCGCACTGAAAATGTCCACAGCTGGCACAAATGAACATGCTTAGACCAGGGATCAAGCCCTGTCTTGTTCCATACGACATGGATACCCTACCTCATCTCCGTCCTGGCCCGCGCGTATGGTCTGAGGGCCAGTTGGGTCTAATCTGGCTGGCGGCAGCCTGACCCGGACGTGCTTAATGAAGAGGAGCTCGAACCAGACAAGGCTGAAGTGAGCCAAGGTCCTGAACCCTTACTAACCAAGGGACCCAAGCATTCCGGATTCTTCTGGACTCTGGCCAGTCTCTAGCAACACGGATCCCGATCTCCACTATTTCTTGGAGGCCAAGAAGGCGGCAGTGGGAAACTCTTTCTGGCCGGCTGCCAGGATTCTGTGGGGTGGAGTGTTAGAAACAGCATCAGCAGCAGGAGTGCACCTGTCAGGAGAGGAGGCAGCACCAGCCATAGCTGGGTGTGTGTGTGTGTGCGTGTGTGTGTGTGCGTGTGTGTGTGTGTGTGTGTGTGTGTGCGTGCGTGTGTGCGTGTGTGTGTGTGTGTGTGTGTGTGTGTGTGTGTGTGTGTGTGAGAGAGAGAGAGAGAGAGAGAGACCTGCAGGACCTCTGACTCCTGAATGCGGGCAAAGCCCAGAACCTAACCAACTGGTAGGAGCCCACCCAGTCCAGATTCTTCCCAAACCTGACCAGGGGTGAGCAGTCCAGTCCCCGTAGGTCAAAGCAGTCATTAACACAATCTGGCTGGCTGGCTGCCAGGATGGTGGAGAGTGGAGCATTTGTGACAACGCGAGCAACAGTAGAGGGCTTGCCAAGGGAGGAGGTAGTCCCAGTCAGCCGTAGATGGGCACTGGATGTGAGCGCTATCAGCAGCAGAGCACTCATACCTTGTTTGATTTGGGGTCGGTCGGAGTAGCACTGTACTGTGTGGCATTGACTTCAAGAAAGCATGAGTAGTGTACCCAAACAGAACGCCTGGTCATTATAGCGGCATTTGGCACGGTCCAGGTGCATCGATAATGACTGGCGTTCTATTCCGGTGAAGATGGTAGTGTAGGCAGGTAGTAGGGTGAGGTGATCACCCTTTCCCATTTAGTGAAGGATGATACTAGTATTGCTCTTGAGCTTGATCATTATTGTGATTGACTTGTGGAAGGCAGAAGGGAGATTTGATTCTTCGTCAAGACTCAAACGACTTCAATATAGTCAGTATTTGACTATTTTTAGTATTTTGCACATTTCTGGTGATTGCTCTGTCGTTTCGGCTCATTGCTTTGTCATTGAGTCAATACTCTATCTATGGGAGTGCAATGCGCCTGTGATGTTAGTTTCATCTTCATTGTACCCTTGCATCAGGACCTATCCCATGTGTCATGCTTCAAAGATGATGCCTGGTGAAATTAACTGCGGGTTTCTGGATCCCCTGTCCTACCCTCTTCCCCTGAATAGAGCGTTCGGTCATTAAGCATTTGCTTGGGACAAGTTTCAGTCTAGACACTGTGATAATGACCATAAGTTTTTTGTCATCCTTGCGCAGGGGCCATGCTAATCATCTGTGTATCCTTCCAATGATAATGACCAGCTGCATTTTTTGCTGCCCTATTATCTTCTCTCAATCTTGCATCACCTCACTCTAACTACCTACCTTATGGTTCGCACCCATTCCTGAGGAAACACCTTACCCACAAGCCCTACCAAGCTGACAACGGATCAGAGAGACACCCCCTACCTATGGAAGTAGAAGCTTAAATTTACTAGCTAGAGCTAAGCTATCCTAAGGTTATGGATCTACACCTAGCTATCTAATGACCATATGCTCTATTCGTGGGAAGATGGTAGTTTCTGCCTTCTATCTTTAAAGTCTATGGTATTGAGCAGATAGTTGAGCACATGCTGTTGGGTTGACATACCACCATTCACTGATCTATGAGCCGTGTATCTTGGTAAGAGCACTCACAAGCAGTGTGCAGGTAGTTGTGGGTAAGCTCTTGATTGCTGGGGACGGTGCGGGCATCGTTGAACATGTCAGCTCTATCTATGTTGGAAGGTTGGTGGATCATCGCATGTTTCTAAACCTTCAATACCTTTGTTTCAGGGGTGTGGGGTGGTTTGGGGTCCCAGATTGTCGATGGTTTTCTTTGCCAATGGGCCCAGCTGGGTCAAAAGTCAAGGGGGGCTTCTTCATTTGTTGCATGACTATTCATTCATTGTGGGTGGAGCTGTTAGTGCCAATGATCAGACCAGTGCACGTTCCTAACAGGTGGACAAGCTCGTGATTTTTGTCACTAAGGTGTTTTTGTTGTCTCTTGGCGCAGGTAAAAGGTCAGAGGTTCCACTGCCATGGATACGAAGGCTGTCAATTGCATTGGACATTGCGCATGCTGTGAGTTGGAAAAACAATGATTTCAATTCCATATTTGTGTTGTGGGGGGTGGACAGTGGGAGGGAGGAGTATTGAGCATGGTTAGAAACTCGATAGAAAGTCAGGCCAGTGGGGTAAAGGGAAGAAAAAAATAAAACAGACAGAAACTGGTCAAGTGTAAGGTAGTGCAGTAAAGTCCAGCGAGTATACAATGGTTTCAAATTTTAATCATTTTTACCACTCGCGCGACCCGGATGCGCCATCTCCAGACGAGAGCAGCAACTTGGTTGCAGTGCACCCCACACGCACAAGTCTTCACGTGATTGGCGCTGGAAGTCACTAGAGAGGAACCGGCCTACCGAAACTGGAGGAACGCAACCGCCGAAGACATCTCCACAGCTGCCATCTCCATAAGAGCGGAGCAGCCCGAAGCCATCGGCACAGGAACTAAGCTGCCCGAGGCCGTCTCCACAGGAGTGAAAACTGCCTGCTACAAGAGACCTGCAGCACAGCTGCCCATAGCGCCCCGCGCCATTACCTTTAGAAAGGGCAACCTCCCGTGCAAGAAGTACCGGTCAACCGCAGCCAGTCAGCTCCAACAGCGCCATCTTTCAGGAGAAGAGCAACACGCCCGCTTCCCTAATTGAGCCGACCAAGGATTCTCGGCTAAGTTCAGACTCGACCCAGGCCAATCCCCAAAACGAGAGACCACTCCCCCCGCTCCCCCCCCAGGTTCCGTCCTTCCCATCCCCCTCAACCCCC